ACTCCTGGCCCCTGGCCTGGAGGGTGCGCCTTGTAAAAACCACCACCAAGATGGACCGCCAGGCTCGCCTCGCTCACTCCATCTGGTCCCAAGGGCCACTAGAGAGTCATTTCAACCAGCACTGAACAGGCTGCTCAACTCCATGTTACAACAGCGGCTCTGAAAGCAAAGAGCGTTCAAGCCACCCTAGCCAGACTGCCACCATGCCACTGCCACAGCTGCAGTGAGGACATGTGTCCTCAACCACCTAAACAATCTCATCTCCATCCTTTAAGGTCACTCTGTCCCATGTGAAATACCATCAAGAGCATTCCCTGATTTGAGATTAGAACTCAAATGTCCCAGACTCCTCCAAAAGTTATTTTTTAACTTTAACTTTTAAAAAGAAATCTTTACCCCTCCTCCCCCAAATCCTACAAAAAATAATCCTTCCCGGGCCAAGAATATGACTGTGTGGCAAAACACTTGCCTAGCATGCGTAAGGTCATAGGTTTGATCCCTGGTACTGAGGGGGGAAAAAAAACTTTCAAGCAAAACAAATTCTCACCATTGTTGCAATTTGGTGAAAGACAACAAACCCGAAGCCCTGACACAAGTACCTAGACTTACAAAGGCAAGTCCCAGCAAGAAGACCCTGTGTCTTTTCTCACTGCTCTAGCAACAAGACAGTGCAGCAGGAAAAGGCCAGCACAAAGGAAAAGCAGCAACAGGGTGGGAGAGTAATAAAAGACTCTGTTCAAGTCCACCTTGGCTGTCCAGGACACCTGAGCTCCCCACCCCGGGCCCCCTCTCACCTCAAGTCTCCAGCACCTTCTGAGAGGTCCCTCAGCGCACTCCAGACCCTACCTGTCCACCTTCTCCACCACCTACCTGAGGACGCCGGCAGTCTAAAGAACAAGAGGCTTACCTGCTCAAAACCGTGCCCTACTTCCCACTGCACACAGATCCCAGGTCTCCCCCCCCAGCAGAACGGGAGGGCCACCAGGAGACTCTGCCCCTCCACACAGGGATCAGAACTGCCTTGTGCCTTCCAGCCACATGCCTGAGCTGGGCTCGGTCTCTAGTCGCTGCAACCTTCTTAGGGTGCACTCCACACCAAGTGGCCGTCCTCTCCAGACCATGGACCTACAGGTCCAGGCTCCTCTGCCAGCTTCTGTCTAGAGCAGCGCTGAAAGACACTGGACCTGATTCCACAGTTCAGCTTCACCCCAGGGTGCTCTCAGCCTAAATCCTACTGCTCCGCTGAGTGTCCACACTCACACTCGGGGACACCCAACTGCCCCCAGGTTGTCCTGTTGCCAATGGCAGCAGGACAACATGGGCAGGCATCTCCCAAGGAAGTGGCAGGAGAGAAATGATGGAAATGTGACATAGAAAGAGGGGGGAGTGCCAGAGCACTTAAGCCACAATTAAATGCAGCTGTCTGGTTTGCCTTCATCTCCCAGACTTCCAAAGTGCCGCTAAACCACCCTTTCAGGACCCAGGGCAAGGGGCCTTCTCACATAAGGGTTCATTTCTCCAAGAAGCTAGAAAAAGAGGAGGAAAGGCAGGGCACAGGCTGACATCGACAAGCAGAATCTCTAAATTTTTTAACGATTCCTCTAAATTGTACTTGCAAATAGAGTAACTTAAATTTACATTAGCCTTGACAGATGCTGAACTAATTAACTCAGGTCCTGTGACACCTGTGACTTTTCTCATTTTGTTTAAACTGTGGGTCATAAACCACTGGGCTGTGGACTAAAGTCAGTGTTGCAGCCAGCTCCTAATTTTAATACAATCCAGCACAACAGTACATCACAAGCGGTCTTGATGTAAATTCTGTTTCTTAAGGGAGTCACAGTCCATAAAAGTTGAAAGGCGGCTGGTAAAATTCTGTAACAGAAATTTACAAACCAAAAACTAATTATTTTTAAATCCCAATTTATCAGAGTCAAAGCCAATGGGTGCCCCTGCCTCCAACTAACCTTTTCATCTGTAGTGAGTGAAACAAAAAATGGCCAGTGAAGAACACAGGGAGTACTTGTGGCCATAAATCAGCCAAATTTCTATTAGTCGTAGTTACAACATTCAGTTCATAATTTCTACTTTTCCCCCTACTGTGGTATAAAACTGGGGTGTAGGAGGGGAAAAAAAGGAAAAGCCTAGTAAACCTCATGAAACATTCAGATGTACAGCCATCAGTCCTGCACAACTGCTCTAGCAGGTCTATAAAGGTTGCTGATTGAATAAATAAAACATCCACCTTGTATTTCTAATTTCTTCAGTAAGTAGAATCTGGAATGGAATGACCTGTAATACTTGCAAAAGTAACCATGAAACACCAGTTTGGTATGGCGAATGGGAGGCTGGTCATCCAGGCCAAGACCTGATTTCCAATCACTGTTTTGCCACACAAAGTGCGATCTTCCCTTGGTCTATTTAGTCAGCTTCCACTGGTTTCCACAGCTATAAAATGTTTTAATACCTGAGCCTCGATCTGCACCATTAAGAACTGAGAGGCATAAAATCATCTGCAAGACACAAAAAATGGTCTTTACACTGAAAATGTGTGCTGGCGGAGTGGCTCAAGGGGTAGAGCACCTACCTAGCAAGCATGAGGCCCCAAGTTTCAAACCCCGGAACTGCAAAAAACAAAAATAAAAAATAAGTATACTAAAAATATTCCTTCATTCAGATTATTTTGTAAGTATTCTTGCCTAGGCCCCTGGATTCCCTTGGCTGTTTGTCCAAAACTTTTAAGCTAACTCTTCACTAGCCATGGTTAGGAGACAAGGAAGAGGGAGGGGCTTAAGACCCATTTTGAAGGGATGCCTGCTTTTCTCCCCCAACAGTCAAGGCCAGGTGTGCCTTTAATTTAATCCTCAGCAACAGCTCCCAGGGCAGTAGCAGCTGCTAAGTCCAAGTTGAAAATAAATGTGCTTGTTCTCTTTTCTGGGGGGGGGGAGAGGGGGAGGAGGGAAAGGAGAAAGGAATGTTCTTCCCCAATGGCACACCAAAAATTCATCATACAGCTTGTGGATGACCATTAAGTACAGGAATGACTGTCAGAGGCAATTGTGCACCACTAAAGCTAGAACAGCTGGAAAATTGGGTCTTTTCTGAGAAAAATGTGTCATCTTTACAGCAAGAAAGCAAAATAAACACAGCTCCGCTTTAAGAACACCTAGGAAATAACTATTTTTGAGAAGCAAAGTTACTAAAGCAAATGCATCTTTTGTTCTCAAGATTAAGAATTTGGGCCCATTCTTTAAAAAAAAAAAGAGAGAGAGACAGAGAGAGACACCAGAAACCACCTGGTGACATCTCATCCTGACTTTCCAGCCCCAGTCAAAGGGGCTCTTAAGTACTTTTCAAAGGGGCTCTTAAGTACTTTGTGCGTGACTGTCCACAAAGGCCCAGTGCCCAAGTGAGGCATTCATGCTAGATTACAACCCGATTAACACATTCTAGCAGCCAGTCTAAAGGAAATACTGATGAAACTTTTTAAATCATTAAAGAGGTCCTTCTAGCTCTACTGGTAAGAAACTGTTTTTCACCAAGTTCACCCTGACCTTCAGGCCACTAAACTCAAACCAAAGCAGGAGCTATAGGTTCTATGTAATGATCAGCAGTAGTTTAGGATTTGGGAGCATTTTGTCTTGGGGATCTGTGTATGTGTTACTAGGGTTTGAACCCAGGGCTCTACGCTTGCTAAGCAGACACTCGAACCACTTGAGCCACACCTCCAATCTATTAAGCTTAGGTTTTAAATACATGTTAAATGTAAGGCTTTTAGATGAGATGCGAATTAAGAATATTCAGTCTTAAGACATCTTCCCAGTCACACTTGTGATACTAACTTTATTACTTAAAACAAAAAACAAACTCTGACTAAAAGTCTAGTTACCATTAGAACTAGACTACCACTTTGAGTTCCTATTTTTCCACATTTCAAATCTGAACAGTGAAGTCCAGTTTTCTTTTAATGGTTTAAAAAGGAGGGAGGGGAATGATTTCCCTGGGAGGAGCAGAGAAGATGCTGGCTCCTAAGACCAAGCAAGGCCTGGGCACTGCGAGTCTCCAGCCCTGGAGACAGAAAAGGCGCCTGTTGCTATCTATAAAATAACAAATAATCCACTTGGATAGTTGGAGCTGTTTTCCTGAAACTCGCATATTCGCTGGCTTAGCTAGCCACACAGTACGGAAGAGCAAAACTTGAGAGCCATGCCCTACCTGGATCGCGCGATTTTAATCCCATTTTATCACCATTTATGAGTTTACAAACATTACAAATTAGCCACGGGTGGTGGCTTTATTTTTCAAAGAGCTTAAAAGAGTCCCTCTTGGCGAAAAACTTTAATGCATTCATGTAAATCTGAAATTCAACTCCCCTCATCCCTGCCTCCCCCCCAAAAAAAAGTGAGTGGTAGGCCAAGATGCCACAAAGTATCGAGGTCACTGGCCAACACCTCTTCCCGCTGCCATCAAGTCCCAAAGTGAAAGTCCGGCGTCCGGCCCGGGCCGGTGGCCTCGGCGGAACCACCATGACAGGCAGGGGACCGGGGCACAGCCAGCGGCCCCGCACGCGACCTCCCGGCACCGCGACAGCAGGGGACCGATCCGGGCGCGCTCCCTGGGCGGGTGGGGGGAGCAGGGGACCCATCGCCCCGGCCCCGGGCCCGCCGACGCTCAGGGGACCAAGCGGGGACTCCAAGGGCATTCTTCACATCCCGTCCCCCGGGCACGAGCCGACGCCGGCCTGCGGCTCGGAGTTGGGGGGAGCCGGCCCCCTACATCCGGACCCAGGCCGCAAGGCCACTGCCCCTCCCCGCGGGCACACACCCGAGACCCCGGCCGCCGCAGCGGCAAGGAGCCCGGGGACTCGGGCCCGAGCCGGCCTGGAGCGGGGCCCCGGCGCGACCCCGGAAGAGAGAGCGTGGGGGGGCCGTGTTTACACCGCCAAGTTGCAGCTTCCGCCCCGGCCGCATCCCCGCTCCCGGGCGGCCGCTCCCGCCTACCTGCATGCCCGGCAGGCCCGACTGCACCGGGGAGTGGGCCATGGCGCTCCAGACGGCCACTTCCTGGCCCGGGACGGCCGCGCCGCGGCGATCCGCGCGGGCAACCAGGGCCGCGCGCAGCCCTCGGGCGGGAGCGCGAGGCCACCGCACCCCGGCGGGTCCCGACCGGCGGGGGTCTCAACGGAGGCCCGTGGGCCGCGTCTCCATGCACCGCACCCGGGAGGGAGAGCTGCGAGGGCCGCGGGGCCTCCGCGCGAGCTGCCGCTGCCGCCGCTGCGCTGCGCTGGGCTGGGCTGGGCTGGGCTGGGCTGGGCTGCGCCGCGCTGGAGCCGGGCGGCCTGGGCACGCTCGTGCTGGCCGCCTGGAGCCGGAGTGGGCGCGCACAGCCGGCCGAGCCCGCGAGCTCCGCGCGCCCCGCCCCGGCCCGGCCCCCGCGCCCGCCCCCGCGGCCCGGCCGGGGACCCCGCCCCGCGCTTCCGGGAGGGGGAGGGGAGGGGAGGAGGCCGGCGGCCGCCTGGGCGCCCTAGGCCGCAGCCGCTGCGCCGCCGCCTGCCGTGCGGCCGGGTCCCGGCGCCTCCCGCGGCGCTGCGGGGAGGGGTCCTGGCGGGGGCGGGGGGAGGGACCGAGTCGGAACCCGGCTTGGCCGCGTGCCCACCGGGCCGGCAAGCCGCCACCGCCACCAACTCCTGTCCTACTCGCATTTCCCTGCTCTCCAGGCCAGTCCGCCCCTGTCCATCCCCCCGGGGGACAAGGGCCCGGCGACCTCCCCGGGGCAGGATCTGCGGGCGGGGCGCGCGGAGGACCCGGCGCCCGAGGCCTGCTCCTAGAGACCCGGCGCAGCTTCTTCGGTGTCCGTGTGAAGTTTAAAGCAGCCCATGGAGGAACCCGAAAGGAGGCAGATGCCCAGCCCCCGCGTTCCGATCACAGCCTGGCCGGGGGTGCCGGGCGTGCAAACTTAGTCGAGTGAGGGGCTGTACCCGCCATCTCTGGATTCTGCACCCGGGCGGAAAGTGGGGTGCGGAGGGACCAGGAGGAAGGGAAGACAATGGAAGGAAGCCGCGTCTAGACTTCGGCCTTCTGTCCTCCTTGCGCTGCTCCCAAAGCCCCAGCCCCAGCGTGAGCACCGTTCGCCTCCGGTGCTTAGCCATCCCCTCCCCCAGGACCGAGGAAACAAGTGAGAATGGGGTGCATGCCTGCTGCCTCCGGGAGGGATTTTATTTACAGTGGCAAATAGGCAAAGTGGTCTGCGAATCGTCCCGAGTTGTAGGGACCTCATCCATGCTTCTTATTGCGCCTTCTGCGCCCTGGCTGAGCGAGGTGAGACAAAAAATGAGCCCCCAAGAGTTGCATGATTGGAAAAGAGCTCAAACCCTCCACCGAGGTGTTTGTTCTCTGAGGTACCATTGTATTCGGAGAACTTCAGGTCCCTCTGGAACTCTGGATGCTAAAACTTAATCCCTGCTTAATCCCTACTTTCCTTTTGGAAACACGCGCTCAGCGTCCTCCAGGATACATTAAGATACCCTCATGGTTGCCACTGGTCACTTTTCACTGAGTCACCTAGCTACCCTCAGTAGTACTGTGAAAACAATGAGACCGATGGAATGTCAAAAGCACGAACCCTAATATCCAGGAGGGTACAATCTTATACAAATTTTGTGTACCTAAAAACCGGGTCCTAAAGAGATGAATAGCAAAACCATCAAGAACATGAATCGTTAAACTGCCCATACTCTTGAACCCCAAATTCTACCCAAAGTAACAAATCCTAAGGAAACAACCAGGAAGTATATGAGAATCTATATTAAAAGACAGCAAAGTGATATTTACAACCGTGGGAAAACTGGGAACTGCTGAAAAGTTAACAAAAATTAATACAAATAGTATGTTTAGAGAGTGAGCACTATGTAATCATTAAAAATGATGGATTTCAGTAGGTTACATGTTTAGTAATGTGGAGAAATAGTTTCACTATAAAATTGTTAAGAATATTCAGGTACAAAACAATTACGTAGTCTGATCTCAAGCTACTTTACTTCATATATAAGTACACATGGGACTGGAGGTGTGGCTTAACTGATAGAGCCTGCTTTGCAAGCTCAAAGCCCTGAGTCCCCCCCACCAAAGAAAAGGAAAAAAAATATATATATATAAAACTTTGCTGTGTGCACACCAAGATTTAGCTGTGGTTGTTCCTGGAATTAAGGATGATATGTTCCATCACTGCAAGCCAGAGCTGATAGAGACCCCATCCTAAGAGTTAGAAAAGTCAGGGCAGTAATGTGGCAGAAGATGAAGAGGAAGAACAAGAAGTGTTGGATGCTGTTCTGAGAAAGCAGTGGGTCAGTTTCTAGCAGATAAATCACAGGAGATGAGGGAGGGCAATGAACCATAATTACTTACAAAAAAAAAAAATCAGCATCCCATTTTGTATCCCAAGGTGAGTGTGACTAAGAATATTTAGTTTATAACAGGACATAATTTATCTGGACACAGTAACTGGCAGTTCTTCAGCTCATCTATTTCCTGGTATGTTTATCTCCTCACTATGACATAACTTCCCTTCTGCCTTTGACCTTATTCTTACCATTGAGCACCATTCTTGTGTAAAGGGAAGAAAGAAGCCCCACAAGAGTGACTGGTTCTGCTCCTTTCATGAAATGCATGCAGTATTCCTGGGCCTGAGCGTCTCTCCATTTGTTTTCCCAGAGCATAGATGATTGGCAGACCCAGAGTCCAGGATGAGATCCTGCCCAGTTGTTCCCTGCATTGCATTTATTCAGTCACATGTTTTTTTCCTTTATTTTATTTTTGAATTAGCAAACATTCGTAATATAAGGGATGTCATCGTGATAATTACATCCATGCATAGAGTCTCTGGACATGCTCACCCCTCTATTTCATTCCCATTCCTCCTCCTTCTCCCCTTATTTACACCTGTTTTGAAGGCAAAGTACATGTCAGATGTGCAGCTCACTGTTGGGCATCCTCAATTACTCCGTCCTAAATACCTGGTCATCCCAGAGCCTACTTTTGAAAGTGTACGATACCATACCTGATGAAACTGAGAATATTCAGTTTCAATATATCAGAATATTCAGTAGCTACATTGTCATTGAAGAAAAGGATACTCCTCACACACTCTTCCTCTTGTCACTTTCCTTCCACCCCATACAGGATTACAGATTTTGTACCTACCATAATCCCAGAAGGAGAGATTTTGATGGTCTGCAGAGATTATGCATTTTCTGGTCTCCATGGAGATACTAATCCATTGAATTGTTTTCATCCCCTGGTTCTTTTGTTGTCTTTTGTGTTCTTAAAGACATGAATTGGTTAATGAACTACATATATAATGGACCCCAAGGAACATTTCCCTGTCCCTACAAGAGCCCCTGCAAATACGGAGCCCCTGTGTACTGATGTCCTCTGCGCCAGTTCTGGTCTCTGCCAAGCTTGAAGAGTGCAGTAGAAAACAAGAATTCAACAATCAATCCCTTCACTTCTCTTTCTGAGTTGAAAAGATAAACACCCCCCAAATGGCACGTTATAAAGAACAGCTAGACAAGGAGTGCATTAGCAATTTAAATTCACAGATTAAAGAAAGGAATTTACATGGTGAACTTTAAAAAGAGAAATACGAGTAGCTCTGATAACAAGGCTTGACAAATTTCTGCATGTCTAGTAGATGAAGACAAATTATTAACATCAGTACACAGCACATGTCATCACTGGATGACATGGTGACAAGAAAACATGCTGTAACCCTAGGATGAGGAATGGTGCACACAAAGTTTCTTTCTGTGGCCAAGGACCTCAGTGGAGGGTCACAGGCCTCACTGTAGGTCGGTTTTTTGTTGCACACCCCACCAGTCTGCTCAGGCCACCATAACAGAGCACCACAGACTGAGTAGCACAAGACACTAAAGTGTATGTCTCATGGCTCCAGAGACTGGAAATCGAGATCCGGGTGTCAGGACTGGCTTTGTCTCAGACTTGCAGGTGGCCAGCTTGTTCCTGTGTCTTCACACTCTCTTCTCTCTGTGTGTGTCTGTAGCTAATGTCCTCTTTCACAAGGACACTACTCAGATTGGTTTCAGGCCTACCATGAAGCCCTCACTTTACCTACTTCCTTCTTCGAGGATGCTGTCTCTAAATAAAGCCACATTTAGGTAAAGGGGTTAGCACTTCCGCATTTAAATTCTGGGGTGACACAACTTAGCCCAATAAATACCTCCTTGCTCTGTGAATTTCTGGCCAGCTCCCTTCTGCAGGTTCACCCCTCCCTGGGTTCAGGAGTGAGAAAACTTCCTTTGCCCTGTCCGGGAGGCCGTGGACCTCTCTCCACAGTGACATTCACTTGTCTGCAGACAGGTATTGCTTCATATTTCCTGGAGCAAAAGTTATCAGGTTACACACACCAGAGTCCAACCCTCCAGTCCCTGGACAACCAGGCAGGAGCAGGAAACTGACAGGCATTTGTTTGATAAAATATTTCTAAGTGAAAGAAATGATCTGGAGTGCATGTCAGAATCCACTGGGAAAGAGTTCAGAAGATTTTGTGGCCCTATAAACACTCATTTCAGACAAAACATTACTGTTTGACTAAAATCTTTCCATTGCTTCCTTCCAACCTGCACTTGGATGTACACTGTACCAGGAGAGTGGGGTCTGAAACCTCCATCCAGCCATGAGGGCTTTGGTCACACACTCCCCCACCTTGGGACAGTTCTGGGGCCTAGACTAAGGAAATTCAGGCTGTTAGAAGAGCTTACTAAAGCAGACTCACTAGAAGAACTCTCATGTGAGATTTTCCCTAGCAAAGAGCCAATTAGTAGGGCTTGTCACGCTCTGAACAGCAACCACTTGACCCTGCCAATCAGCTTTTAAAGGCTTCAATGCACAAAAGATTCATCAAGTGCTAGCTACATGTGCCGTTTTCCTCCCCCTCCCCCAGGGTGGGTTTACGTTCAGATGTATACAGAAAGGACATAAATGAAATCATTCCCACAACGGTGATGTCATCCATCCTACAGGCACGGACTGCTACACCACCGCTTAAGAGCTCCTGGCCCTGTTTCCTGACAAGGAAAACAAATTATAGAAAATGATTGTAATTTTCACTTTGAGCAGATCCAGGGACTTCTTTGCTTAAAGGACATTGTATAACCACACCAAGGTAAAATGTGCCAATGAGTCACAGATGCCAGTCCGAGAATGCACAGGATGTAAGGAAATTTGGAATCCTCACGAACATGCTGACCTGAGATGACCCTACTATCAAGGCTTCACCTACAAAAATGGCAGGCACATATGAGCTTCCAGCCCAGTTTTATTTGGTTTCCTAAATTAAAAAAAAAAGACACTATTACTCAGAACTCTTTGAATAACAAGTGATA